CTTTTGGATTCCTGGGAATTTCTCTAGAGCCAGGTTTCTGCTAACCCTATAATAGCTCCCTCAATCAAGATATCTCTCTCCTTGCTCTCATTTCTGTCCTTCTTCTAGCTCGACTATCCCATTCCTCAAGTTATCCTCTCCCTCCCTCTCTCCCTTCCTCTTTTCTTCCTACCCTCCCCTCGCCCCCCATGCTCCCAACCCTGCCAGTCAATCCTGTCCCTTTCCAATTTCCAGGTGGTTCTATATATATTTTTCTTTGGGTTTACATTATGACTTAGTTTCTCTAGGGTCATGAACTATAGGCTCAATGTCCTTTGTTTATAGCTAGTATCCACTTATGAGTGAGTGCATACCTTATTCATCTTTTTGGGTCTGGGTTACCTCACTCAGGATAGTGTCTTCTAATTGGGATGGGCTCATTTTATCAGGGAGTTAAACTTATCGTAAGCAAAAAGTAACCGTGTTCTTTTGTCACCACCTTGGCTAGTGGCCTCACTAACATGGAGACAGCCCTATGGCTGGGCCTCCATGGTGGTTAGTAACATCATCAAACTGTGAAAACTGTGTGACTTTACCACTACCTTGGTTAATGCATTACGTTATGAATCAAAATCATGTCATTCACCAAGCTTTCCCTTCCCATTGAGCTCTCGGGAACCAATGCACCCTTCAAATTTCTGGAATCACGGGCATCCACTCATGTGCTCTAATATTCTCCCATTTTTTCTATCTTGTTTATTATATTTCTGATTCATAATTGTACCTCAGAAATGAGAGACTTAGAGGAGACACCAGCATAAGCTGTATTTCCAAGGGATATGGTCAATGCATTTTTTTTTATATCAGATTACCCAGCCAATGCCAGACTTCATGGTGGGTTTTACACATTGTTTTGCATAGTGTATTTACTGGTTTCTTGGTGGGGTTGGGGGGAGGCGTATGAGCTTTCCTAGCCATATACCTCCACCACTAGCCAGCTACTAAAGGGAACTGACACTTTGAGATAGCTACACTTGGGGAGCTCATGGGAGTTTGCAACAGCCCAGAGAGAAGCTGGGAAGACACCAAGGTCTAACCAGGAGCCAGATGATAGACTGCCAAGTGCAAGACAAGCTGCTGCCAGAGGGCAACTACAACAACTGGAAGCGAAGAGATATCAGCCAGCTTGGGCTAGAGGATAGAGATGCTGGCTGTGCTGGGCTGCATGCCTGATCTTTCTGTCCAGGGTCTCCAGGCCTGGCTTATCTCATTGAGATATAATGTTCTTTTCTCCTCTTCCTTTTTTTTTCTCAAAGGTTTATTAAATTATAAAAGTTTCCATTTCTGCCCCTCCTCCCAACACCCTCCCACTCCCCCCACTCCCTCTCCTCCTCCCTCTCCATCCCTAAGAGCAGTCCGGGTTTCCTGCCCTGTGGGAAGTTCAAGTTCCTCCCCCATCCCTCCAGGTCCAGGAAGGTGAGTATCCAAACAAACTGGATCCCCAAAATCCAGTATATGCAGAGGAAACTAGTCCCAGTGTCATTGTCAATGGCTTTTCAGAAAGACTCCGGGCCAGCCACATTCAGAGAATCTGGTTGGATCATGTGCTTGTTCAGTCCCAGACAACTGGCCTTGGTGAACTCTCATTAGATCAGTCACCTGTATCAATGGGTGATCGCACCCCTCGCGGTCCTGATTTCCTTTTTCATGTTCTTCCTCTTTCTGCTCCTCATTTGGACCTTGGGGGGCTCAGTCCGGTGCTCCAATGTGGGCTTTTTTTTTTGTTTTGAGACAAGGTTTCCTTGTGTAATATCCCTGGCTGTACTGAAACTCCCTTTGTAGCCCAGGCTGGCCTCAAACTCACAAAGATCCATCTGCCTCTGCCTCCCGAGTGCTGGGATTAAAGGCATGTGCCACCGCCACTCAGCGTGTTTTTCCCTTTTTGAGACTCTTTTTCCCCATGCATGTTGTCTGCTTCTGTTTCTGCCCCATTGAGCCCCGGTACTCTGGCTTCTGTTTTTACTTTCCAGTTACACTTATATGGACAAGCTAAGGAAAGAACTTATGTCCACCCTTTTGTAAGTTCTTTTTCAAAATTTTTATTTATTGTATTTTAGTATGAGTGTTCTGTATGCACACCTGCGCACCAGAAGAGGACATCATATCCTATCATAAATGGTTGTGAGCCACCATGTGGTTGATGAGAATTGAACTCAGGACCTCTGGAAAGCAGTCAATGCTCTTAACTGCTGGTCCATCACTTCGGCCCTTCTAAGTGCTTTTAACTCCTACTGTAAATTTTATCTAAAAATTTAAAAAATTAATTTATCTTTATCTTATGTGCATTGGTGTTTGCCCACATGTATTTCTGTATGAGGCTGTTAGATCCCTTGGAACAGGAGTTACAGACAATTGTGAGTTGCCATGTGGGTGCTAGGGAATTGAACCTGGGTCCTCTAGAAGAGCAACCAGTGGTCTTAACTGCTGAACTACTCCTTCAGTCCCTCCTGCCATAGTTTTAACAGGGCTTTCTTAGCTGAAGTCTTTTGGATGCTGCAAACATCAGTTCGATGATGTTTTGCTGTATATCTGATGTTCCTGTCTGCTTCTTACATTCATTCAAAACCAAAGACTGCAAAGTAGGTCACTTTATACTGTATAAAGACTGTGTTTTCTATAATGTTTACCTGGGAGCACACAAATCCCCTAGTTTAACAGTATGTGTAAGGTAATACTATAACATTATATCATAAGTATGTAATTCAGGTTCAACTTGGTTTTATTAAGGTGGCATTTGTACAGCACTGCCTTCTGACTGAACAACTACCATTTTCTTTTTTAAATTGATATTTAATGAGCTCTACATCTTTCTCTGCTCCCCTCCCTGCCTCTACCCTCTGCCCTTCAACCCTCCCGCAAAGTCCCCATGCTCCCAATTTACTCAGGAGATCTTGTCTTTTTCTACTTTCTCCTTCCCATGTAGATTAGATCTATGTAAGTCTCTCTTAGGGTCCTCATTGTTGTCTAAGTTCTCTGGGATTGTGGTTTGTAGACTGGTTTTCTTTGCTTTATGTTTAAAAACCACCTATGAGTGAGTACATGCAATAACTGTCTTCTTGTGTCTGGGCTACTTCACTCAAAATAATGTTTTCTAGATCCATCCATTTTCCTGCAAAATTCAAGATGACATCATTTTTTTCTGCTGTGTAGTACTTCATTGTGTAAATGTACCACATTTTCCTTATCCATTCTTCCGTCAAAGGGCATTTAGGTTGTTTCCATGTTCTGGCTATGACAAACAAAGCTGCTATGAACATAGTTGAGCACAGTTCCTTGTGGCATGATTGAACATCCTTTGGATATATACCCAAAAGTGGTATTACTGGGTCTTAAGGAAGGTTGTTTCCTAATTTTTTGAGAAATCGCCACACTGACATCCAAAGGGATTGTATCAGCTTGCATTCCCACCAGCAATGCAGAAGTGTTCCCTTTTCCCCACAACCTCTCCAGCATAAGTTGTCATCGGTGTTTTTGATCTTGGCCATTCTTACAGGTGTAAGATGGAATCTCGGAACAACTGCCATTTTCATCATGTCCACTGTACTTGCTTACAAAAGATCATCACAGCTTCTTGACTATTGCTGGTCCTTCATGGATGTGAGGGGGCAGGCAGCGTCATTAGATCCCCATCTGGGTATCCAGTCACGCCTGCTAGGCAGTTGTATGTAATTGTGCCCTAATTGCACTTGGCCCATTGTTCTTGGGGAGTGCTAGAGGACATAGCTGGGGATGGATAGGGAGAGAGGGCTCCACTATGTAGCTGTGGGAAAGCCGGCATTCATGCTGGGTTACTATCCAGAGAGGCTACTTTTGGGTCACCTCTTCATCTGTCAGTAACCCTTCATTCATGCTGATGAGTAAGCCCAGTAAACTCATTGATTCCCCATAAGTAAGTTCAATAAACTCATTGGCTTTCCATGGTGACCTTTGGTGACTAAAACTTTAATTTGTCATTGGGACTTTATAAGGATGGGGTGGACATTGTTTAGTTATTCCCTTCCCAAGTTCTCACAGCAGATGGTAAATTTGTTGCTGTTACTACGTCTTATGTTATTAAAAAAACTAGAAAATTTATCTGAGTTACGAAGGTCTGAGTAAGTTATTTAAGGTTTATTAAAGATGAGACATAGACATGATATGCGTGATATTAAAATTTCTAAGGTTAAAGTTTAGATGTACTAAACTTTTTTGGTGTTAAAGTTCAATACATTGAACCATGCTCAAAACAATGGAGATAAAAGTGTTTGGTTTTTGCCTAAGCTTTGCCTCAATGTTACACAGTGATGAAAAATACCTGCTGGCTGTTCAAGACCCATACTAGAGGGCCACATTGATGTGACTAGAAGGATTAAAAAGAAGAATATTGCTCTTCTTACCTTCCAAAGTCAACTAGGTCCAAGGGGACAGTAGGATATCCCTCAAAATGTTCTGTAACTCTTGTTCATGGAGGACATGGAGACCCCACTCCAACCAGTTTATAAAGAGGGTCAGCACAGAGAAAATCATGCTTCCAAGTGAAGCGGTGGTCAAGCAAGGCCTCTGACTTATCCTCACATAGATGGAACAGATGGTAAAATGGAGTCTAACTGGGCCTAGAGGTTTCTTTCAAGCCCCAGTGACTCCTGAGAACAAGATCCTTAACTGGCCTTGACAGAAAAAAAAGCAGTTAATTTTGGCCAACTACATCGTCTGAAACACCTGCCAGGGACCGAAATGACTTGTGTTTCTGTTACCATGCAGGAGATTCTACTCCCCAGACATTAGACTTCAATTCTTTAGACAGCTGTGTATCACTAATGGCTTCCTTCTTAATAAGGAAAATGCTTCCCAGATACCAGAGACTTTAGACCTTGGCTCAATTAAACACTGCAGCGTCTATCTGGAACCCAGACTGTCAGGTCCACTATTGGTTTAACCTAAAAACGAAATAACGCCCACTTTTCTCCTCTCTCCCTCTCTAGAAGCCGTCTGAGAGGGAGCTCACACCATGAATCTAGTCTCTCCAATAGCTATCACGGCGTCTGAAAGCAGACCTGAGGTTCAGCACTCTGGAGACCAGTCTTCGAGGCCTAAGAAACACAATAAAGGGCCAAACAATGGAGGAACTTGTGGCCCTATCAACCTATTTCAATGGACTTTGATTTGAACATTGAAAAAGTTATCTCTGTTGTGATTTCTTCTGGATCCGTGCCTCAGACTTTTTTTTTTTAGGGTTTCTCGGTGTAACCGTGGCTGTCCTAAAACTCAGAGATCTGCTTGCGCCTGCCTCCTGAGTGCTGGGATTAAAGGCGTGTGCCACCACTACCTGGCCCTGCCTCTGACTTTCAAGGCTAGGAATTTTTGTCTTCACTTCTCCTTCATATTTCTGACCAGGCACCAGACAAGGACCTGCTTTGCTCCCTACACCTGAATGTTATACAAAGAAACCACCAGTACACTTTGGGGTCTTTTAGACAGGCCCATTGAGGAGTCTTCTGACTGCTATGCCCAGTGACCCCTTCCAGCTGGAAAGAAGAAGAGACCAGCCATCGTCCTGATTCCATAATGACAGTTAAGGTTACCTCTTCAAAAGTGGGGGGATGGTTAAGAATTGTATAATGCAGAGATGAAAATTTTGAGAGCCCCTTTTAATATCAAAGATAGTCAGTTTGATAAAGGGCCATATTTTCTGAAGCTCCCCCTTCCTTTTGTGCTAATAGTCAACCATGCCAGAGTGTAAAACTGAGATTCCACCAGTGGGGATGAGATGCAGTCATCACTTACGTCAGGGATGAAAGACACAGACCATCATGGCCAAGTGTGCTGCTTGCAAGCCCCGTTTGGGTTCTGGCATGCCTTTCCTGGGAAAATAAATTACTTAACTTTGCATGTTCCTGAGATCACTCTTTTCCAACATGGACCCAGAGCCTTGATTTGTCTCTCAAACATTTGTTGAAGCTCCTTTTCTCTGTGGAGATAGCTCCAAGTCAGAGGGATGGGATAGGAGGATACAGGAAGATAGGACTGTTCTGACACTATGTCTAGGAAGGTGTGTGTGTGTGTGTGTGTGTGTGTGTGTGTGTGTGTGGTCAGATGACCAGGGCTTTAGAGCAGTGATTTTGAAACTGACAAAAGTCAGATTAGCTGGGAGGTTTAGGGTATTTTGTGAGTCAGAGCTGGGGTCTCCAAAGCATGCACTGGTGAGGCTGAGTGGCTCTTAGTAATGATGCATTAGAAAAAAAAAATCTTGGTGGTGGGCTCAAGAAACATGTGCCACACTTCTGATTTACCCTGAGGCAATGGACATGGCACTGGGGACACTGGGCAGGATCAGCAGCTGCTCCTCTTCTCGCAGATCCAGCCATCCTTCTCATTGCTACATGGTGCATCATTCCACAGCCCCGAGTGCAGCATCATGACACAGTCCTCACGTCCTCTGGAATCGTTGGGCTCTCCAGAGTTCCAGTGACTGTGGTGGTTCAGTGGGGAGTGTTACTGGGAATCTGGGCTGGCGATAGACCTAGGGTCCAGCCTCCTCTCCTCCTTGTTGCTTGACTCTGGCATAGACACCCTGAATGTCTAATTTGAGTTTATATCTACAGTGTACATTTGTAAGGGCTCAGAATTGAACTCTTAGCCAATTCCCAGGGTTTAGCTTTTCTACTCTTAAAAGGTTAGTTCAGGTATTATGGAGATTGCTCAGTGGAAAAGAATCCTTGTTGTACAAACATAAGGACTTGAGCTCAAACCCCAAGTAGTTACATAAAAATCCAGCTGTGGCTGTGCATGTGTTTGTAACCCTGGCAGGGTGGGGTTTTCTGACTGTCAGTCAGCCTAGATCCAGGTTCACTGAGGGACCCTGTCTTAGGGGGATAAAGCAAGGAATGGTAGAACAGACTCTCCAGAGTTCTCTCCTACTCTTTGTGTGGTTGTGAATGGGTTTGCAAGCTATCCATGCACCATATACACACTCACCAAAGCATCAGCAACAATCCTCTCCTAGGAATTAGTCTTTAGACACATTCCAAAGTGTTTTTCCTAGGGTCTAACTTAACTACCCTTCTGAATCTCTCTTGGAGCTTTCTCCTTACCTAAAGGTGAGTGAGACTCCATCTACCCACTGGTAACCTTGAATCTTGCCGAGGTGGCGAACTGCCCTCAGACCCAACCAGTAGCCTCGGCCCCGTGTGCGCTGACTCAGGAAAACCTGGAAGGAAGTAGAGATGTCATCTGGCCAAGTCTGTTTGACATCCTAGGGCCACACCAGCTCAGGTGAACTCTGATTCTCCTCTGCCAAGTCCCAGCTGCATACCTGCTCATCCAGGTCTTTGACAATCACCAAGTGGGCACCGTGGACTGAACAGTAGCTCTGTGCTGTGTCCCATATAGCCTGTGTCTCAGAGAAATAGTAGCAGGATCCTTGGAAGTGTAGCCATGATGTGGGGCACTGCTCACAGGATTCTGTTGGGTGGTGAGGGTCAGAGAGACGGATTGTTATTGAATGGGGCCATTGGAATGCCATGAAGGGTGTTGCATACCAGAGAAACAAGGTTTAGGCCAAAAGGCACATCTGGTAGAAAGAGAAGCCTTGAGAACCCCAGGCATGGACCACTCCTTCCCATCCTTAGTCTTCTCTCTGGCTCACTGTTTTGTTGCTTGACAGCCTCCAATGCCTGGAACAGCTCACTGCGGATGTCTTCACGATCTCTGGCTGCTTTAGCCAAACTCTGGGTCACTACAGTGTCAGAATGGTGGACAATTAGAGTGGGAGTTAAGATTGGGACTTATGTAGAGGTCAAGCTCTATGTCCATTGTCAGTTCATGGTTGGTATCAGGGTCAAGAATAACTACAGTCTGGGCGTGGTGATTTCAGCAACTTCAGAAGGCTAAGGCAGAGGAGGATTGCAAGTTCAAGGCTAAATTGGGCTACAGAGTTTAAGTTTATCCCGGGCGACTTAATGAGACCCTGTCTCAAAATAAAATGTAAAATGAGTGTTGATGATAAACTTGGTATTAGGGCACCTGCCTAGAACCGCCCAGTGAGGGGCTGGGGGAATGGTTCAAAGGCAGAACACTTGCTTAGGGTCCCGCAGTGAAGAAAGCCTGCCCAGTATGTGAAGCCCTAGGTTGAGTCACCAGGGAACTGAGGGTCTAGGACTGTACTGCCAAGAAGGGGTGTGGCCATGGTTAGAGGTGAAAGTCAGGGGTCAGGGGGTCGTGTTCAGCTTCAGCTCTCACCACGCTCTTGCAGTTCTTTAAGGGTGCTCTCCTGCTCCATCAGCTTTGTCTGTGTGTTCTTAAACTCAGCGAGTGTGGTTTGCAACTGCGCTTTCATCCCGGAGCCTATGCGGGGATGGAGCGACTTTTTGAGACCAGCCAGTCCCGCCTGCCTGTCCCGTTTCCCAGCCCCACAGCTCTCAAGCCTCCACCAGGCCCGTTTCTTACAGCAGTTCCTGCAGGCTCCGACATCTTCTTTCAGGGCACTCAACATCATCCTTTGCTCTGAGGCTGGAATGAATTCCCCCCCAACACACTAGGTCAGGGGACACTCTTCTCCAATCCAGGTTCAGTCCAATTTCCAGGGGTCTCATCTAATTCAGTACCCAGTTTCTGAATCCCTGGCAGTCCCACCTCCTACCGCCAGGGGACGCAGACGCCCTACTCTGCACGCACCATTTGTCTTTAGCTGGTCCTGGTGGCTGAGCAGCACCCTGCGCTCGCTGGAGGCTGCAGAGAAGTGAGCACAAGGTGAGAACCTTCCGCTCTCCTAGAGTATGTGAGGACCCGTGTTTGGTATCCACGGAGGCACAGTCCAGGAATACAGCACTCGGGCACGGATAGGAGGCATGCATACATACAGTGCCAACATAGACACATGTTTGGTTTACTCTAGTGGTTCTTAACCTTCCTAATGCTTCGACCCTTTAATATTTAATAACCACCTCATGTGGTGGTGACCCTCCAACCATAGCATTATTTTCTTTGCTACTTCATCATTATAATTTCGCTACTATTCTGACCCGTAATGTAGGCATATGGTTTTTTTTTTTTTTTTTTTTTTTTTTTTTTAATGATCTTTGGGAACACCAAAGAGTCGTGACTCATACGTTGAGAACCTCTGGTTTACACTTACTGACGTCCAGGATGCCATCTGGTGCTCCACAGAGGGAACAAGTTTGTGCCTTCCCTGCCAGGTGGCATACAACTTGTTCTGTGTTAAAGGATCATTGTCATGGGCTGGAGAGATGGTTCAGAGGGTTAGAGCGAGCAGCTCTTCCTGAGAACCCAAGTTCAATTCTCAGCACCCACATGCGACAGACTGCCTGTAACTCCAGCTCTAGGGAAGCTGATGCCGTCTAGCATCTGTGGTGGGCACTTACACACGCGTGTCACACCCTCACGCAGGCACATACATGTACACATAAAGAGTATCACTTACCCTTGGACAATAGGGTGCTCAGAATGAGAGCCCATAGCACTGTGGCCACCAGGAAAGCCAAGACCAGGAAGGAAAGCCTTTGTTTGTTGTACTCCCAGCGTCCCAACTGCCCTAGTAGAACACCGATGGATTCTTGATTCCTCCAGGTTGGGTTAGAATTCTATGCCAATGCAACCGGGTCTATGCCTGGAATAACACCTGCCCCCCAACTAGGCTTCTTGGGGAAGACTCAAGGGTTGTCTTACCCAGCCTTTTGGGTCCCGGGGAATCCTCACCCAGGGTGCAGGCATTGTCATTCTGCAGTCCTGACCATACACTGGTGCCCCTTCTCCCCCTCCCCCCCCCCGACATTAGGACTCACGGAGGAAGATGAGGTGATCCCTTCACTCATACCTCTGGGGACCTCCTCGATGGTGCTACCCAGCTTGCTGTATCCACCAGCGTCCATGATGGTGGTGGGATCCAGCCCTGGACAGAGATATAAATTTAGGTCCCCACCCTAGCCCCATCCTATCTCT